CACACACACACGCACACACACACACGCACACACACACAGACACACACTCCCTCTCTGTGACCTGAAGGTAACCTCTGTCCTGCTAACCGTATTTATTGACCATCAAAAGTTAACAGTTCATTCAAACTCTAAAATATGATTTAGTGGCAGCCCGGCTGTTAGCTCCACCTCCACCTACACCTCCACCTCCTACACCTCCACCTCCACCTCCACCTCCACCTCCACCACCTCCACCTCCACCACCTCCTCCTACACCTCCACCTCCACCTCCTCTACCTCCACCTCCACCTCCCCAGCCGGCTGTTAGTCCACCGGACGGGGACCAGAGTGAGCCCCATCCCTGCATCCAGCCCTGGATCGGGCCCATGGTGACTCACCAGCAAGTTTGTAAAGATTGTAAAGTTTATTTATTAATTTTTTGTATTTTCTAAAATTCTATTGGATTTCTTCTTTCTGTAAAAAAGTCATTCTGCTTCTTCATGGTGTCATCAGGTTGCACCGTGTGGTCTTAGTCTGTGTTACATCTTGTAAATTAATTTTAAAAAGATCAAGTTTTCCAAACAATGGATCTAACGAAATATCTAACAAAATATCCCAGTAAACATCTATTCAAGTCCCTTCAGATTCAGTTTTTTGTTTTTATCCAAACTCAGTTGAATTGAGTGGAATTCAACTTTCCATCGACACAAAAGCAAGAACCTTTCAAGGCAACGATTTCTGACAACATTTAAATCATTTTTAAAATGTACAAAAATACATGAACTGGATGTCTGAGGACTCTGAGCTGATGGCAGCAGAACCAGATGACGTTTGTCTGGATCAGAGGTTTGTGACCTGATGAAGATGCTATCCAGAGCTGAGACCAAACCCAGTCAACAGTCACAGATGTTCTGATAAAAATCACCTTTATTATGATGAAAGCACCTTAAATAAGCTCGATACACAGGAGTTATGTAGACTAACCGGTGGGAACCGCATAGTTTCTTCTGTCATTCTCCAAAGATATTTACAAATATGTATGAACACAATTTAACACGCAATATACTTTACTGTACAATATGTACACTTCAATTACAAAATATAGACGCTTTTAAACCTGTACAGTGCTTTAGGGGGCGGGGCCTTAACTGTGTGAGTATCGGGTGAACTTGGTGGGCAGGTTGTCTACGGGATAGACAGTGGGGCCCGTTTTCATGGTGGGGGGCCCGTTCAGAAGAGTCCAGTGGCACTTTGTCACCACCTCCACCAGGAAGATCTTCAGCAGGACCTTGGCGAATTCTTTGCCCACGCACATCCTGGACCCCCCCCCGAAAGGGATGTACTGGAACCTGGAGGAGTCCGAGGGGCTGGTCATGAAGCGCTGGGGCTGGAACTCCTCCTTGTTGGGGAAAATGTCCGCCACGTCGTGGGTGTCACAGATACTGTAGATGACGTTCCAGCCCTTAGGAATCTGGAAACCCTGGAACGGTTAGAGACCATTAGTTCAAGAATATGTCTTTCCTAATCTACAATGCTCAAATGATAAGATTCACTTCAAAGTTTGTCTGATTACATTGAGATCAAATGTTTTGAGGGCCACTCTGAATCCTCCAGGCACGGGGGGGTTGATCCGTAGAGTCTCTTTAATGACACAGCCGGTATACTTCAGCTGCTCCAGGTACTCCAGGTTCAGCCTCTGGAGGTCCATGCCGCGCTCCTTCTGGAAGAGGAAAAAACAGCCTCAGGAAACATTCAGGAACGGGTGGTCCTGTCTCTAAAAGGCTCAAACACATTATCCTAGCAAGCTTACAAAGCCGGGAACAAACTTTTTTTACCTTTAGCATTACATCTAAGATAAAATTACTCATTTATTTCCTTAATTATTCACTGTCAAACGTTTGCCCCATGGCCACTCCCACTTTCTCATATGGTCCTGACACATCCTGAGTGGCAACACGCCATTGGCTTAAGAGTAAAGGTCTCAGACCCCGGTCCTCTCTGGGTCCTGCAGGTTTTAGAGGTTTTCCTGCTACTGCTCACATGGTTCTGACTAAACCTGACCTCCTCTGGACTCTGAGCTCTGCTAACGGCTCTGATGTGAAGCAGGTGTGCTGAAGTGGGGGCAGGAGCACACGTACCATGTCGATGAGCTCCTGTCTGAGCTTGTCCACTACGGGGGGGTTCAGGCCCAGGAACATGACCAGCGAGGTGGCCGTGCTGGCCGTGGTCTCGTGGCCCCCGAACAGCAGCTCGGTGGCGGACTCTTTGAGGGCCTGGAGAGAGGAGGCAGGGATGTAAAGCCATCCAGGAAACGAAGGAAACGCAGGCAAAGGGCCAGACCCCCCCCCGGTACCTGCATGCTGAAGGGCTCCCCGCTGGCCTGGCTGCTGTCTATGAGCTGCTGCAGCGCGTCCCTGTGCTGGGACTGCCTCCCCGAGGCCTGCACCTTCTTCTGGATGTTCTCCTCTATCTTGGAGTGGATGAAGTTCCTGGCCCTCAAACCCTACGAGACAGGACGGATAGCGGGATTAGAGCTGGGCCAGAGAGGGGAATCAGGGCAGGTGGAAACAGGGAAAAGGTAACTTTAAACGAGACCTGAGGCTAGAAGAGGAGCCTGACACTGGATACTGAGATACAGAAACATTACTTCTGTCATTTCACTATGCAAACTGTCTAATGTGGTTCTGTTTAGGAGCTCAGACTATTAATGGATCTTAACATTCCAGTCGTCTGGAAAAGGGGGATCCCGATCCTGCTCCGGGTGGGGGGGCCTCTTACCCTGTACAGCCCACTGAAGGGCACGTCGATGGGCAGAGAGAACAGGTTCTTGATCATTTCCTCGAAGGAGTCCACCAGGCGCTGCTCGTCGGTCTGGATCTGCTCCGGCTGGAAGCCCAGCAGCAGCCTCATGGCGATGCGGAACATGAGGCGCTTCATCTCCGGGTACACCAGCACACAGGGGTCCCGGGTCAGCCACTGCTGCACCGCAGCCTGCACCTCCTCCTGGATGACCGGCACGTACAGCTCCAGAGCCTCCCTGGAGAAGGCCCTCATGATGGCCTGACAAAGAGGGGAGGACTCATGACTCAACTACACCTACAAACACTATAAACTATAAACAGACCCTGTTCTCAGACATATACAAAGAGGGTTAGGGTTTTAAAGAAATTACTACGGTAATATTTGAGTTTAAAAAAAAAAGAAGAAATGACTACAGTAATATTTCAGATTTTTTAAAAGAAATTACAAGGGTATTTAGGTTATTAAAAAGATTTACTACGGTAATATTTCACTTTTTTTAAAAATAAATTACTACGGCAATATCTCTGCTACGGTAATATTTAAGTTAAAGAAAATGACTACGGTAATATTTCAGATTTGAATGGGCTGACAATGTATACCCTAAGGATTTGTTAGAGAAAGAAAACTCACTACTTAGGAAACCATTTTAATGACAATGTGGACTTTTTAAAGTCAGCAGATATCTGATCAGTTTGAGCGCGTGCTTGTGAAGTAACTTTAGTGGCTTGTTTGGTGTCTGGATGTAGAGGAACTACAGGTCTGGAAACGGGGACCAGAGTCCGGGGACCAGAGTCCGGGGACCAGAGTCCGGGGACCAGAGTCCGGGGACCAGAGTCCGGGGACCAGAGTCCGGGACCAGAGTCCGGGGACCAGAGTCCGGGACCAGAGTCCCGGGACCAGAGTCCGGGGACCAGAGTCCGGGGACCAGAGTCCGGGTCTGCTGCCTCTCACCTTCTTCTTGCTCCTGTGCAGGGCGCCGTGCACGCCGGAGAGCGTGTCCGAGCCCAGGATGGCGCGCACGGAGGCGGGCCACTGCGCCGCCACCAGCCGGTGCTCCCCCAGCAGGATCTGGCGCACGTTGTCCGCGCCGGTCACGCGCACGGTGGGGCTCCCGAACAGGTGCGTGCGGTAGATGTAGCCGTACTTCTGCCGCTTCATCCGCAGGAACTTCCTCCTCTGGAGCCGGAGGGGGGACAGATCAGGGGGGCGCGCACGCGGACCGCGGCGCAGGCGGGAGGCGTGTTTTGGGGGACCCGGACCCGGGGGGGTCTGCGGGCCCCCACTCACCTGGAGCAGCAGCTGCAGCGTCTCCCCCAGGAACGGCAGCCCCATGGAGCCGGGCGGCAGCGGGCTGGGGCAGCCCGGGTCCCGGCCCCGGAGCATGTAGACCTCCCACAGCCTCACCGCCACCAGGAACAGCAGCACCGGCAGCACGATGATGCACAGGAAGGTGGCCAGCAGCGTGCTCACAGCCATGGCGGCTGCGCGCGTCCCCGCGGGTCTGGGTCCCGCTCTGGATGCTGCTGGGTCTGGGTCCCTGCGGATCTGGGTCCTGGCGGGTCTGGATGCCTGCACAACTCTGGGACAGCTCTGGATGCCGGTCTGGATACCGGCGGGTCTGGGTCCCGGTCTGGAAGCCGGTTTTGGATACAGGTGGGTCTGGATGCCTGCACAACTCTTGGAAAGCTGAGGAAGCCTGGACTGGAAAGCTCTGGGTCCTGGTCTGGATCCCCGGACAGCTCTGGGACAGCTCTGGACGCGGGTCTGGGTCCCGGTCTGGATGCAGGTGGGTCTGGATACCTGCACAACTCTGGGTCAGCTCTGGGTCCTGGTCTGGATGCGGGTCTGGTTCAGCTCTGGGTGCGGGACTGGACGTGGGTCTGGATCGGGTCTGGTTCAGGTGTGTTCCAGCTCAGGTGAAGCCCCGCGGACTGTGGCCCCGGCCCGGGCCCCGGGCTTTATATCCGGGTCCGGGGCGGTGCCCCCCCCCCCGCCCCCTCCCGCTGCTGGGCTGGTTCACGCAGAGTTCACCGTGGCGGGGGGAGTCTCCGGGCCCGCCCCCGGCCCGCATTGGCTGCCGGCCTCTCATTTGTCCAGGGGCCGCGTCTTTAGTCCGGACCTCCTGTCGCACGCACGCACGGCCCGTGTAGGGTTTCACAGGACCGGGGCCACGGGCCGCGGGACACGGACGGAGCGTCCACGGACGCCCCTGTGGTCAGCCCGGCTCATTAGCCCAGCTCAGGACCGGGTCAGGACTCCTGCCCGGGGCTGCGTCCGGGGCCGGGGGCTTTAGGGAGCCGCTCAGCGGGGTTAGATGGGTTAGGGTTAGGGTTAGGGTTAGACTTTAACCCGCAGCCTCCGGGTCATAAACCATATCTTTCTTATGGTTCAAACTTGGGTCAGCAGAGGCAGAGGGCTCACGCGCACACGTGCGAGCTTCTCCCCGGGTCACCCGCCCAAAGCCCGCCGCGAGGCGGAGCCCGCCCCGGCACGGTCAGGCGCGCGCGGGCGGGAGTGTTTGTGTTGTGCGCGTATGTGTGTGTCCGTGCGTGCGTGTGTTTATGTCTGTGTGTCATTGGGTGTGTGTCAGTGAGTGTATGTAGATGTGTGTGTCTATGTGTGTGTCTCTGTGTCAGTGTGTCTGTCTGTATGTGTGTGTTTGTGTGTGTGTCAGTGTTTCTGTGTCTCTTTGTGTGTGTGTGTGTGTGTGTGTTTGTGTGTGTGTACAGGTCCTTCATGGGGACCCCCCTGGGCCGTGGCCTGTACAGAGTTGGTGCGTGGGGGTTTGGGGGGTTCTGGGTGAGCTGGTCCCTTTGGGGGGGCTCCAGCTCACCCTGTGGGTACAGTCCAGAGGTCCACTTGCCCTTTGACCTCCGTCAAGGCCAAGGCGTCCCCAGTCCTGCTGCTCTGGACCCTGCAGAGTAAAGAGAAGGTTTAGGGAGGGGGTTTCTCTGTGGGCTCCCCCCAGCAGCAGCAGGGAGGTGATAACGGGATTTCTACACTGAACCCTGATCCACACGTCCCCGATCACACAGGTGTAGGTGGTGGTCATCAGTCCTCTACAGCAGATTAATCAGATGATTAAAGCTCATTTGCACATTCAAAGTTTTTCTCAATTGTTTAAGATTTAAATCTCTTTTGCTAAGTACACAAAACAAGTATTTCTCACTTTTAATGTAAAGCTAATGCCCATTTTTCACACTTAACTCCAGGTGAGTCCACCTGAGCTGACCACCATCCATGATGGCATCACTAAAACTGGGAGTTACTGGAGATGTTTCAGCCTCTGTGGCTGTGTTGATTCCTCCAGTTTGCTTTTCCAGTCCGAGCTGTGCAGATGAGAGAAAGCTCAGAAATCAAACTGAAAGTGACACAGTTGGACATTTCCTCCATCTGATCAATAACTTTGTAACAGTGACTTTTCGTGCCTGTTTCAGCTGACCTGTTCTTAGTCTTGTGAGCCATTTGGACTATTTAAGTGTTTGGGTCAGGGTGGACATGGCTGATATTATTGGATCATTCAGAGTTTGTGTTGTTTGTCTCTGGAGAAATCCCTGCTGAGGGCTGGATGTTCAAACCATGACGTCTGATCAAAGGAAACTAAACAAACTCACACACATGGACGGAGAACATGCAGTCAGTCCGGCAGCACAGCCTTATCTCCCCCCCCCCCCCCCCCCGTGCTCAGCCTGACCTGCCTGTGACCCTGACATCTCAGTGAACCTTTGCATAAACCAAGTTCACACAGAGAGAGGGAGGGAGAGAGAGGCGGAGAGGGAGTGTGAGAGAGATGATTGTGCAGATATAATTTCACCATTATGGAAGTCGTTAAGTCCAAAGACCTTAAGATAACTCTGTGTGTGCAGTGAGTTTGATACGTTTGGAACATATTTGATGACTACAACCCAAATAATGGGACAGTTCGCCTCTTTTTTTTTAAAGAGAAAATGTTCCCCGTTATTAGACACATTTACCTCACTATGAACTTATGTTTCTCTCTCTCTCTCTGTATGTATGTGTGTGTATATATATATAGAATCTAAATTTTCATTTAGAACTATATATTCACAAGAATCTGCAATACTGACATTATAAATGTTTGAAAGAAGAAAAAAAAGTCAAGCTAATCGTCTGACCTGTGTTAAGGCAGCTGACCGTGAGATAACTGTTGTTGTGATTTGGTGCTATGTAAATAAAACCTAATTGAATTGACTATTTCCAGCTTTAGTCTGTACTGTAGCCTGCAGTGAAAACAGATTTAACCAGAGTTTATTGACAAGTCCGAAAGAACTGAATGCTTCTTTTTATTTACAGCATTAAAAGTGTATCCACAGAAAAAAGCCAAAAGAAAGTACAAAATAACACCAATATTTTCATTTTGAGGATCCCCATTATTACTGCAGCTCACTGAGATCACACCTCAGAACAATGCAACTGTAAACCCTAATCCTAAACACTGGTCACCATGTCAGATCATTAAAAAGCAACAGTGTCAGCGTGACCCTGTTTCCACCCTCACAAAGTTTGATCTACCAAAGTCCCGACACAGTCGGCACCAGTCAGTCATCTAATCTGCACAAAATGCCGACCAAGCAAAGAGTACACACACCTGATATGAAAAAAGAGACGGGAGAAAGTTAGTTTAGATGAGACTGAACTCCTGATAAAGCTGCTCTCATTTACAGATGTTCCTGTTTCAACAAAACTCTGATTTTAGAACCCCAGTCTCATCAGACAGAACCATTCAGGGGTCGTAGGAAAAGGCCCCCAGAGGAGCTGGATCCTACTTCTGCTGTAGGTTCACAGTTTCAGGGCTCCATCAACACAGGGAAAGAAGGTTT